AAGATTCCTACAACTAGTTGTGGGAATTTTTGGCAAAAATCTGTTCCCACAACTAGTTGTGGGAAATCGCGTTAAATATCGCGGGGACGAAATAAAATGAAAAGGGGGAATCCCACTGCCTCAATGGTGTTTTCCAGTATTTGCATGCTCGGAAAATGCTACGCTGGCGGAAAAACCGTTATGCCAGTTTCATTTTTGTCCCAGTCGTGGAGGGAAACGTACGACATACAGGCGGTGTTCAGCAGGACCTCCCTCCTGCGTTGCTGTACTGCGTGGCACCTCGTGCGTGTATCTTGAAAATGGAGAGAAGATCCGAAAAGATCGCACAATGAATATCGCTCACAAACGCAACAGAACCAGATAATGAAGAACCTACTTTTTTCGTGTTCACTACAAGTGGTTCTGATGTGCTTTTTGGGCACATCATTAGCTTACACGACTTTTGCTAAACCTTCAGGGAGATGTTTCCGATCGGCTCTTTTCACGGCAAAAGATACGCCAATCGACCTCCCCGGTTTTGAAAACGCCGAGGAGTACCTCGAATACATGGAGTCAGTTTCCTCTTTGCCCAAGGGTTTTGCGACTGGAGCCGCTGATGGAACGTTCGTCTCTAAAGAAGCACCAAATCTGGGTCGCCTGCGTATTCGTGGTACTATTGTTCAGCTTACTGAAGGCCCAACCGACAGCTGGGCAGCGTGCTTCACATCAAATAAGGTACGACTGGATTCATTCAATAGTTTTTCTGTCCGATGCCTAGTGTATTTACTGACTTACGCTGCTCCTATTTACAGTTCCCAGGTGCTCCGGTTCTAGTAGGAAGGAAACGCCTGGCTGGTGGTGGTGCTATAGCTGCGTTAGTCATCAACAACAAAGTGTCCAATGTATGCTCTGGTGGCGACGGAGAGAAGGACGCCGAATTAGTTTGCGAAGCCGTGGCAAAGTCGCTGAACTTGGAATCTTCCGAACAGGTTTTACCTTCCAGCACTGGTGTCATCGGATGGCGCCTCCCTGCGAAGGAGCTTGCTGAAGATATTGTTCCTGCTGCAATTAAGAACATCCAGATTAAATCTGCCTTGAATGCGGCCCAAGCCATCATGACTACAGACCGTTTCCCGAAGGTCCGAAGTAAAACTCTCTCCAATGGGAGCAGAGTTGTTGGAATCGCCAAGGGCGCTGGAATGATCGAACCGAACATGGCCACCATGCTTTCCTATATCATGACTGACGCCACTATTTCCAAGAAAAAATTGCAGGAGATGCTTTCTGCTGTTGTCAATGAAACGTTCAATTGTCTTTCTATTGATGGCGATGAATCGACAAGTGATACTGTTGTTTCTATTGCTTCAAACCAAGTAAAAGCCGATTTAGATTTGGACGAATTCAAGAATGCTCTACTTGAAGTGTGCCAGGGTCTCGCTAAGGATATCGTTCGCAACGGAGAAGGAACCGGACATGTGATGAGGGTCCAGATTGACCACTTTCCGGGATCGATGCGCTCGGCTCGTTTCCTTGGTAGACATATTGTCAACTCACCACTTTTCAAGTGTGCCGTAGCCGGCAATGACCCGAATACGGGACGTCTTGCAGCCGCAATTGGGTCGTACCTTGGCAAGCATATGCCAGACGCTGATGTTAGAAGCATGACATTGACACTTGGCAATCGCGTAATTTTCAAAAATGGGAAATTTGTACTTGAAGGCGAAGAAGTTGAGAAAGAGCTTTGTGACCACATGATTAACGCTGGGTATGGAGACTCAACTAACTATCCTCCGCACCAAAGGTTTGTTGAGATTGGCGTAGACTTCGGCAAGAACTGTGGTGATACTAGTGTCACAGTTTTTGGGAGTGACTTGACGAAAGAATATGTGCAAATCAATGGGGATTATCGATCCTAGAAGCGCAAATATGATGTTTTGCATGTGCTCACATCAGAGATAAAAACCTGCAAGCACACAAGAATTTGGAAACGCTTGCGCACTGAGATAAATATGTTGTATCTTCTACTTCGAGAGTAGCGGCAACAGGGTAGAAGGATCAATAAGATCTATTTCTAAATGCATGACTTCACACTGCTACTGCTATTTGATCCAAACTCTTTTAAAGAAGACGAGTCCTGAAATCATTCTGAGGACAAAACTGTTTCTGTGTTCAATTCAGCTGATTCTTCAGCTTGATCTTCATTCTCCTCCTCATTCCCTTCGACAACCTTTACTCGAGGCTTACTATTTGACCTAATTTGATTCGCATCTTTCGCAACACGTTTTGGATATGCAAGGGCGTACAACAAGTCTAGGTGCTTTCCAGACTGTTGAGACAAAAGACCTGGAGGCGGCATTGTTTCCATCACGCTGTCGCGTGTACGCCGTGAAATAGTCTTGGTTACAACACCGGTACTGCCGTCGGTAACGCGAACATCGTCATCGTTGCTGCCGATAGAGCGATCATCAGTAGCTGTATCACTTCCTTCAGCATCCTTACCCCCCGATTGTCCTGTTCGTCGAACTGCTCGAAGCAATCGACGGTTCCACTTGTTAACCACTTTCATGGATATCATGGATCGTCCAAGGCGGAATTGTACCGACTGCGATGGCGATAACTCCAGTGGCCTTCTGAGGTAAAGATAGGAACCATTGGAAGAAGATGAATCAGTGAAAATGAATTCACCATTCTTGAATCGAATCGAAGCATGCCTTGCGGAGACAGTGCGATAATCTAGCACCATATCCGATCCTGAAGATCTTCCCAATTGGAGCGCTCGAGTAGCATTGCGCCCATCAGCCCTCAGAAGAGTGCTGAACGACAGTTGGAAACGAGTGTTAAAGAGACGCTGAGCCATTTCGTGCTTCGTTGCCACCAACAGAGACACGTATGGTGGTTCCAAGGAAGACTTGAAAAGTTTCACGTGTCTCCCATCCTTCAACTTAAAATCTGACTTGAATGTGCTTTTGCATACGGAACAAGTTGCATCAACAGACGATAGAAAGCAAATTTTGTTGTCCGCCTCCGCAGTGTGCCATTTTCTCAAACACTCTACATGTACAAACTTCGTGTCGCCAATGCACTTGCAAGGGGTGATCAAAGGGTTTTCGTCTGTATCTTCGTCATCAAAACACATATAGCAGACGGGCTTGTCGCCAGTTGCTACTGGAGGGGGAGTCGTTGCTTGAACCTCTTCCATAGAGTCCTCGGAGTTTTCTGCCCAAAAATAGAACGTTAGCCTCTGGAGTTTCAGGAGGAGCAGCACGACATGTGATAAGTCAACAATACTTACCGCCGTCGGTTTCGGCAAGATCCAAAAAGCCTCCGTTGTTGTTTGTGGTATCTTTCATAATTTTTTGAATTTTTTCCTCGCTTAGAACACGATTCTCAATTCCATCGTGAGTCTCAATCACAACTACGCCAACAGAACCAACGCGGAGAAAGTCGCCAACTTGCAACGTGTGGTTGGCTGCGGGATGCTTCCGATCACCCAAAAGCCTACAAGTACCAGAGTGACGAGAAAATGCTTCAGGCGCAGGCACCACCCAGAAACTCTTTGCGTGAGTTGTCACCAAAAGTTGACAGGCACGAGTGTCTGAGAGTTCGTATCGCTGCAACTTTCTTCCGATGTGCTTCGCATACTCAGCTCCAACATCAATAGTATTTGCATTCCGGCTTCTATTCGAACCTTGAATTATTACGCCCTAGATCCGATGGAAGAGCGCATTAGACTACGATCGAAAACTGGAGTTCTTACAAAACAAGAAACTTACTTCTGGCTTGATCGTGAAAGTTGTAAATTTCTTTTTTCCGCTTCCTTGACTACTGTTGTTACATGGATAAACACGGACTTCCACCTGGGTGTCAAGCCGAGCATTGATGTCGGACGCTGGGTTAATGCACCTAATAGGCGCTGTGGACTCAGCACCGCCTCCGTCTCGCTGCCTCTCCCTTCCGCGATGATTTAATTCTTCGTCAACATCATGCTGCGATACATCGGAAGGCTGATTCTCGCTCATTTCAGCTACGCTCTACTACTGTCAAAATAAATCCCCTCAAGTCAAACGCTTCCAATTTACTGCTGAGGCAATGAATGGCTGAACAAACAAGTCGTAAGCAGGTGTACCGGGACAAAGGAAAGCTTCACAGCATAGTTTATGACTATTCAAACCCATAATAGCCCTCCTCTGATTGTCTCCACCCATCACTGTCGTTTGCAATGACCCTTCTCGTTGAGTGATTAGCTCCTTACCTTCGTTATCCAAGTCCGGGAATGCTTCTTCTGAAAGAAAACGAAAATGCCCAAGGTTATATTCAAAGCGGAAGTTTGTTTGGAAAGCACGCTTGCTCCGTAAAGTCATTCGTAGCCTTGCAGGCGCCGATTTGTTTCGCCGCCGATGGAAAAACGTCTCCCATCGTCTTTAGTTCGTCCGTCAGCAAGATGGGGGAAAACGCGTTTTAACGGCTCATATTTCATAAATGGTTGGGTATTTTTGAAAACCTCCGTATTTTTCGTACCACCTCTACGTGTCGGCAGCTTTCCTCCTGAAATATCGCTTGCACAGAACTTTTAGAAGAAAAAAAATACCAAATATATGTCCAATGACACATGAAGGTTGCCACAATGCCAAGAAACAAGTCCTCTGCTCCCCCAATCCATCGAAATAACCATGGTGGATACAATACAGTTTTGGTTTGGTGCTGTGCGTGGAAAAATATTTTCTACCTTTTAGTTTTTGATTTTTGAGTTTTGAGTTTTATGTCTTTCTGGGGAAAGACATTCAATAGCTCGGCGGCTTGACGTCCAAGACATTCAGTGATCACCTTTGGGACCACTTTGTAGGGTAATCGTGCAAGAGCTACTCTAACTCTTTCTTTCAGGGTTCGATTGTTTCGCTCAGCTGTAGGTTCGTGGTCTCTAGCCGCAGTCGGGTGAATAATAAGACCCATATCATCTAGCATATCATCCGTCAGAGGGATGAAAGCCCGATCACACTTGATCGTCTTGACATGAAAGCCTGCCTTATTGTAGCGGCGGAATATCTTATCCAATGCTTCAAATACAGGGTCAGTCTTGAGGTTCTGCATGGGAATACATGAGCGATAATACACAGTGGTATTAATGCAGGTGAGAAACTTAGCATCTTCGATTTCCATGTGATCAATACAGACGGTAATTGTTCAATTGTGTTGGTACAATTCCTCTGGTGGACTGAAGAAGTCATCGTGTGTCTTCTTTGGAGTTGGTCTTGTTGACTTGCCTTTCAATGTAGATGCGTCAGGTCCAAAGATTACTTCGGCATGGTTGATCGCTTCTTCAGTGATGGGACAGTCCTTGATGAGACCAGATCGGATTGCATACTTCAGACTTTTGGTGCTTGGAGCATTGAGTATGTGCATCACACATCTCGTTTCCATCGCAGCCTTGACTTGTCTTGGAGTGAATAAAACTCAAAAATCAAAAACTAAAAGGTAGAAAATATTTTTCCACACACTTCTCCAAAACAAAACTGTACCAGTCCTACGCGTTTCGTACGTACAGGAAAACAGTTGTTGTCGTTGAAACAGGAATTAAATTTAAGCCAATATGAAGGATAGCATCATCAACCTGCCGGAGAAGGACCCGCATTCGATCATGACTGTAGCTGACCAAGGTCAGGGAGGTCTCGAGGAAAAAACCGGATCAAATATATATATATATATAACTGATGCATTAATCGTATTAAAACTATCTCAAGTTTCTAGATTGCCGTTAACGGCTGTCATGGCCATTTACCATACGGAGGTGAGTCCAGTACTGTTGAACCAGTGTGA